CTCACAGAGGACTGCCTGTGATGTGCATGACATTCTGGTTTAACAATTATTCAATAAGCTATTTTCTTTCTCTGTAACTATTCTGGAAAGGTTTTCTGGGTTGGGAGAAAATTTTATTTTTAATTAATAACTTCTCCAGCTATTTAACATGTAACTCTGGGGCTCTGTGAGGAAACATCTTCATTATATGATGCAATAAGGTGGTAAGAAACAATTCAGTTCAGAGTAGGCACTTTCTTACTCCAACCGAAATGGGACTCTTGGCTGAATGGGGAAAATTCTGGGTGGAGGTACTAATTCCTACTTAAGTGAAAATGGCAGTACTGACTAGCAAGTTGTCCTCAATTTGATCTCTTCCATGGACATTTTTAAAATGTCCCTCGTATGTGACATCCACTCCGTCTACTTGTCTAGGCACTTACCAGGCTGTAGACTTTATTCCAGAAGAATTCTCCTGGATTGGTTTCCAGACTTCTGGATCTTTTCACTCAAGACTAGCACCTGTCTTTATTCTACAAGTGATGTCAAATGACTTCAAAGACAGTTAATAATCAATTAAAACAGAGCTCAAACCCTTAGCATCATGATTTTTTGAGGCTTTTCTGTTCAAAATTCAATAGGAATGAAGATAGTAAGGTAGTGGTAATGGTAGTGTTGGGAAGGATAGGGTGTTTCTCCAAGCACATATACATAATACACAAAATTAAGCAACATTGAAGTGTTCATATTTCAAAAATATTTTAATTTTCCAACACTTTTCCAAGTGAATTTAGTTTATTGTGTAACATTACCTGAATTTGCACCTGTCTTTTGGAGCAAATTTGTGCTTTCTAATTCACTTAGTCAAGATATGGTTTCTCCTCTGTAATAGTGCATCTTGAATTCAAGTCTTCTCACAGATTTGGGCATTTCTTTGTCTTGATTTTCTATCATGATGTGTCCCTTCTCACCCCAAAGTGACATAAACATTAAAAGTCTCTGAATTATTTAAGCCAATAAAGTGACATAAACATTAAAAGTCTCTGAATTATTTAAGCAATATGGGTAAAGTTTTATTTTATTAAATGTTTTCCAGTGTGTGTGTTTTAATTAACACTTAATAGACAGGAGGTGTAACTTCTTGGCATCTACCTCCAGGCTGCTTGATTTCTCAGTTTTGCTTTGACGTTTTCCCAACTATGGAATGGCACATTCTTCTCAATGTTTTCAGGAGCTAGCACCGGAAGGGATGAGTGATAGTCTTCAATCATGACACCATTAAGTATTAACTTGACCATTCTGTGCAATGCTTTTACCTTTTTTTCTACATGCTGTACATGCTATAATAATAATGTCAATGTAATATACCATTGAGCTCTAACATTATACAAAGAATTGAAAAAATTTTATATACATTATTTGACTCCTAAAACCATATGAAAAAAAAAAACCCTATTTGCATCTCTATTTCCAGAAAAGAAAGAGGGTTAGTAAGTTGGAAGAGCTTAGCCTTGATTACATTGACTCCAGAGCTGAACCTTTTAGTCACATTGCTAAACTTCTGTAGAGTTTCTAGTTAGTTACTAACCTTATTTTCAAAGGATTCAAAATAGCACAGTTCCACTTTTATGTACAGGAAGCTGAGTCAGTACTGCATGGTAATTAAGAACATAACTTCATTGTCTGAAGGCCTGCGCTTTTTTTCTATTACTGTTATGCTAGTATTAACAAATAAGAGAGTTAAAAATACTCCCTAAGTTTGGTAAGGAAATATTTACAGTCCAGGATATGTGGGTTTCTAACATGATATATTCTTTCTCTGGACTGTTATCACAGAAGGGACCATTTTGTTCTTTACAGACATCCTAACCCACTAGGTCCATCCATGAACTTAAAATCAGTAATTTGAAGAACAAAACGAATTCAGCTTGTCTAAAAAGAGACCAATTTGAAACCAAAATATGAAATTATTTCAAAACAATATCAATGGAGAAATAGACCTATGATTTTGCAATAGTGAAATTCAACTATTATGTCATTTTAGTTAACCCGCTTTTTGTCACCATAATTTTAGGTTGTCAGAACCTATTCCAAGGATCTTGGCACTCCAAATAACAGCTTCAAAGAATAAAATGTTTAAATTCCCAGATATTGAATAATACTGAGTAATAATCCTTAGTAGGTTATTATTGGAATCTGACAGAGAACGGATATCAGTCAAAATGGAAAGAAAAAAGAAAATTAGCAAAGTTCATGAAAGCAAGAAGTTGATAGACACTCAGGGCCTTTATCTATTAGCACTAAGAAAAATAACCCATCTGCCTAATACAATGGCCACCCCTTAGCAAAACGCATCCTGGGTTTGAACTGCAAGATCTCTTTAATACCTTATAGAGTTTTTGCTATACTTCATTGATAAACATAAAACAACAAGCATACTGGCCTGGAGAAAAGTTCATTTTTTTTTTTGCAAAACTGCTTTTTAATTCAGGTATGACACAAAGCCCCAAGACTTAACTTTTCTTGGTAGATATTTTCCGATCTATTTATCATGGTCACAACATGAAGCAGTTTCTGATTTATGTGGTGAGCTTCAGACTTTTGGTATTTTCTTTCTCAGCCTCCATCTATCAGGAAGCAGGTCTGAATCACATTTAACACTAATACGGCACTGTCAATAATGCCTAGTACCCAGGATGCATAACAAGAAAGCCCCTGGAAGATACAGAGAGTTCAGGATGTGAGCTGGAAGTCTAAGCAGCCTAAATTGATTTTTCAAGTTAATGGTGTTTTTATGTATTTGGAGCAAAATAATGCAAGCTGTTGAATCAGGAAAAAACAGAGATTTCATGTATAAAGGGAGAATTACAGCAAAACTCCATGGTTTTGGTACTGTTTTGGCAAAAGGCCATTAGAACGTTTTGGTGAGAGAGAAGGGCTTCCTCAGAGGTCTGTATCAAGCAGACCATTAACCTCAATATCATCATATTCCCATTATCTGGTACAGGGCTTGCATATTAAAGATATTGATAAAAACAGAGTGGATTAACTCAAAATCAAGTCCTTGTATAGTTATTATAACCCCTAGGTCCCTACTAGTGCTATATCATTATTTCACAGCCACGCTTTACTTAAGGTGTCAAACTACTTTCTTATCTGGTTTCCCATTTTGGGTAGGGGAGTTGTGTTATGCCTAGACTCTAGCTGAAGTTATTTTGGCTGAAAAAGACACAAAACAAGTTATACATTTGTGTTTGTGTGCTCAGTCGCTTCCATCTTGTCTGACTCTTTTTGACCCTGTGGACTGTAACCTGCCAGGCTCCTCTGTCCATGGGATTCTCCAGGCAAGAATACTGCAGTGGGTTGCCATTTCCTTCTCCAGGAGCATTTCCCAAACTGAGGATTGAACCTGTATCTCCTGCATTGCAGGCAGATTCTTTGTAGCTGAGCCACTTGGGAAGCCCATATTTGTAACTGGGTATAAACATATTTCCTGAAGCCTAGCCAAATGCTCCTCATGACATTGCACTGTATCTCTGCATATGCTAGAAACTAGATTCTCAGTAAACTTGGTGACAGGTTTAGACAAGTGTAATGAAAAAGTAAGTAGGGCTGTCATGTAGCTGCTAGAGGGTTTATAACAAACACTGTCTAAAAACCATTTGTTTATTGAACAAATGTTTACTGAAGACATACTATATGTCAGGCACTAGACTGAAATCTAATCTTGACACTGGGAGCTCAGGGTATTATAGTAACATCCAGATTAATAATTATGACCCAGAATGGTGAAGTTATGCTAAAACATCAGAGAAGACAGAGGACAGAGTAAGCAAATGACATGGGAATTTGGAAAGAGTTGTTTAATCTGTCAGTCATGTCCTACTCTTTGCAACCCCATGAACTGTAGCCCACCAAGCTCCTCTGTCCATGGGATTTCCCAGGCAAGAATACTGGAGTGAGTTGCCATTTCCTCCTCCAGAGGGTCTTCCCAACCCAGGGACTGAAGCTACATCTCCTGCATTAGCAGGCAGATTCTTTACAGATGAGCCCCAAGGGAAGCCCAATGGAAACATTCAGTCACTTCAGTTCAGTTGCTCAGTCCTGTCCGACTCTTTGTGACTCCATGAACCGCAGCACACCAGGCCTCCCTGTCCATCACCAACTCCCAGAGATTACTCAAACTCATGTCCATAGAGTCAGTGATGCCAACCAGCCATCTCATCCTCTGTCATCCCCTTCTCCTCCTGCCTCCAATCCCTCCAAGCATCAGGGTCTCTTCCAATGAGTCAACTCTTCCCATGAGGTGGCCAAAGTATTGGAGTTTCAGCTTCCGCATCAGTCCTTCCAGTGAACACCCAGGACTGATCTCCTTTAGGATGGACTGGTTCGATCTCCTTGCAGTCCAAGGGACTCTCAAGTCTTCTCCAACACCACAGTTCAAAAGCATCAGTTCTTAGGACAAACTCAAATAAATGGACATTGCAAAATAAATTGATCTGTACTTTTCAAAAATGTCGATGTCATGAAATTCTAAGTCAGAATAAAGTACTGTTCCCTACCAAAGAGAGATGACAACTGAATGTAAGGGTGACAACTGGAGTAAGGCCCAACACCATATTTTCTGTTGCTGAAAAAAGACACTGGGGCAACTGGCAAAATCTGAATTATTTGATAACTGGAGTGTGGTAATAAAAAAAAAATAGAGAATGACTTTGTTTTTAAAGAGAGACTATAAAGGGGAATAGAAAGGAAAGATTACAAAAGAGTGAGAGGAAAAGAGGAATAAAGTGAGGAAGAGAGAGAGGAAGGGAGAAATATTTTTTTTAAAAAAGGAAGAAGAAAAGGAAAATCCTCCAAAGAGAGCCAATCCTCCCCACAGGGCATCTAGCCAGGGGCTAGGAGGCGGCGCCCCTGGGGTATCGCACCGCTGCTCCTCTTCCGGGGCTCAGCCGCCCCTCGCCCGCACCCTCCCACGCGGGGCGAGCTTCGCTGCGCGGACCGCCGGGCCTCCCGGCGTCTCAGAGAACTGCGGCGAGGGCGGCGGCAGCGAGGCGCTGCAGGCGACAGGCGGGCACGGGAACCCTGTCTCCACTTCGCTTAATGGCAGGAAACAGGCACCGCAGAGCGCATTGCCTGGACCTGGGTGGGGCTCTGGCGGGAAGGGGCGGCGGGAGCGCGCGGCACCGCCTCGCGGCGGTTAGGCGGGGCGGGCCTGCTCCGGGGCGGGGCCGAGACGGCATGCGCCAGGGTGGCCGCCATCTTGGAGAAGGGCAAAGAAGGGCAGTCGCGGCCTCAGGAGTGTGCCGCGCAGTGGCCTGAGGGCTGCGTATTGCTGGGTATCACTCTGCAGACTCCAAGGGAAACTCCTGAAATCTGGTTTATCCCTTTACAGTGCGAGAGCTTCCACAGGAAGAGTTCAAAGGAACAAGCGTAAAGAGACCTCAAAGTTATCTCTGGGCAAATTTAGAAGGTAACAGTAGTCTTTGGTTTCTGCCTACCTCATCTCCTCAACTCTTGGTGGTTTTTTTTTTTTGGACAATGGCAACTCTTTTGTTTGGTTTCCTACTGGAACCTCTATGGAGTGACTTTTCCCTCCACTCGATCAAGTCTTCTCTCTATTTGAGTGGCGTCTGCTGGAAAGGGAGAAAGAAAGAGAGGGGAGAATGGAGTTTGATAGCCAAGAATAAAGTAAATACAGTAAAAGATTAATATTTGAAACTATTTGAGTGAAGGATATTTTGTAATAAAGAATCTAGCCCAAAACCCACTGAAATGTTATGAGGTAATTAGCCTCCAACTAATAAAAAAAATAAATTAAAAAGAAAAGAATCTAGCATTGCTCTAAGAGAGAAACTGTCTTTGCCTTCAGTCTTGTGGAGGCCCAGTATGTTATACTGTTAGGGGAAGAACACTGACTGAAACCCTTCACCCTGGCCAGGCACCATAGTAACCACTTGCATGAGTTGTTTTAGGACAGGAGGTCCTGGTAAAAACAGGGAGCTAATAAGCCACCACCAATGGGAAGAGTTAGGGGAAGGTCAAAAGGAGACACCACATGTCCAACCACCTCTCAGAATCCTTCTCACTGCCATCCATCTTGGTTGAACAAGGTGTGAACCACCAGGAAGGACTCTGAGTCAGAATGATTGGCTAAAGACAACCCAGAAACTAATCCCAGCACCATAAAACCCAAGAGTGTGAGCCACATGGCAGAGCAGTCCTCCTGGGTTCTCTTACCCTACTGCTCTCTGCTCATCCACCCTTTCCCAATAAAATATCTTGCTTTGTTAGCACATGTGTCTCCTTGGACAGTTCACTTCAGAGTGTTAGACAAGAGCCCAGTTTTGGGTCCTGGAAGGGGTCCCCCTTCCTGCAACAAATGGCGACTCTGGCGGGTCTCTGCTGCAACTGACATCCTGACCACTTGGGGTACTCAGGAACCAGCTTGCCCACTGATGGACCAGACCCAATGGCTGTAACTGGGACGCTTTTGTCCCTGGTCTCCTCTTGACACAGACAACTGGCCAGAGCGCCCCGACTGGGTAAGGAACAAGAGACTTTATTGACCTCTCTCCCCTTCCCTCTCTCTTTCCTCTCCTTAACCCTTCCTATCCTACCCTTTTTTGGTAGTCGCCTGGTCCTGGATGTAGGAATCTGGTCAAAGGGCCTCAGCCTGAGCTGAGGATTGGAGACTGATCACCTCTTCTTGGCAGAGAATTCAAATTTTGGTTTTGGTCTGGTCTGGTCTGGTCTTTGAAATCTTTGAAGACCTGAGGTATTTTCGTTTACTCTGTTAGTACTTGGATATGAAGTTCTGTGTCTCTATAGGAAATTTTCTGAGAGACTGTAATGTTGTATTTAAGGGAGTGTCTGATGAGGACTGCCAGGTCTGTGTGTGTTTTATACTCTGTGTTCTGTGTAGTGATTTGTGATGGCCATTTTGCTTTGTCTAGCTACCGTTTGGTTTAGACCTGCCATCATTTTGTTAGAACTTGATTTTCTTTCCCTGTACCTTGAGACCAGCGCTCTCAGGAACACTTATCTAGACCATCTCTAACTCCCAAGACTGAGGAAAAATGGGAAATTTTTATTTTTTAATTTAAATTTTTAAAACTTTTATTTAAAATTTTATTTATTCTGTTTTTTATAGTAGTGAATTTTATATTGTAATAGGTAATTCATGACTAACTAAGCTTTGAAAATGAAGCTAGATCTTGTGTTGTGTCTGTCTGAATATGTCTCCATATGTCTTTGTCTCTGGATAATATTTTTGAGATTAATTTGTAAATGAGCTCTATTTAATTGGCTTAGAAAAATATAAGCACTTACAAATGAAACCATTCTAAATTGAACAATGAATTCCAGGTTTATGTGAACTGGAAAATATTCAATATTAAATACCTGATATTAATGTTTGTTGATCTAACTAATATAGACATGTCTTAGAGTAATTAACATTAAGTAGAATATTTTCATTGTACCTAGGTTTAATATAAGTTAAATATTATTATATCTGTTACAAGTTTGTCAACAAGGAAATTACCTCAACTGAAGAAACTTCTAAAAAATGTAAATGACATATGAGCTTTTAGATAAGCTCTATTTAGAATAATTATGCTTTAGGAATGTCTCTCTAAAATAGTCTCTACATATTGGGGTAACTTACATCTCTAAAGGTTGTGCTAAACTAAGTGTTGAAAGTCTATTGAATAGCTCGGTCATTTCCAAATAAAATAAGATTTTAAACATTTACTACTAAACACTAATTTAGTAGCTCAGAGGGTAAAGAATATGCCTGCAATGCAGGGGACCTGGGTTTGATTCCTGGGTTGGGAAGATCCGCTGGAGAAAGGAATGGCAATCCACACCAGTATTCTTGCCTGGAGAATCCCATGGTCGGAGGAGCCTGGTAGGCTACAGTCCACAGGGTCGCAAAGAGTCGGACATGACTGAGTGACTTCACTTTCTTTCACTTTTCTTTCTTTCTCTCAAACACTATTTCCTTTGACAAAGAAAATAAAGTGATTTTGGACTACAAATGAATAATATTTAGTGCCATCCTAAAATGTTCTAAGAAAGCAAAGGTTTTAGAAATTATCACTGGTATTTATGCTCACTAATCTATAAAATGCTAATGTAAAATTAGTTCTTTGTTGCTTAAGGAAAGTAGGAGTGTTTTCAATAAAAGAAGGTATGAAAAAATGCTAAAAAGAGTTATGCATGATCAGGATCTTCTAAACTTGGATTAGTTAGATAAATGGATTTTTTTAGGATTGACTAAGAGCCAGCTAGGTCCAAGATGGCAGAGTTGACTTTCACTAGACCTTGAGCCTTGGCATATGTGCCCATTGTGATGAATCAACAAGCTAAATGATACAACCATTAGCATTAACCAAATCTGACCAAATGTTCTAAACCTTTTTAATTGATTGATTTTTTTTTTTTTTTTTTTTGGGACAAAACTTCCTATATCGAATTCTGTTGAAGTGCCTTTGACATCTAGTTAACTTTGGTGTGCTTCAGAGGGCCCCTGAACATTCCAAAGAAAGCTATTAAACTAATTATGTTTATTTGATTGGTTAAATTGCATTAAAATATTATCAAATGAGTAATAAATCCTCTAATATTATAACATATGATAAATAGTACTCATAAAGGTATCCTAGAAATTATATGTAATTCTTAACATTCTGTTATGTCCTGGTATTCTAATGGAAAACCTGATGACTTCCCAAAAGTTAATAAAAGGACTGAATGAACCAGCGAATATGCTTATAACTTTCACAGTTTCTATCTGAAAAATTACAGGTTTGAATCTTGTGTTTTCTGGGAGTAGGGAAAGCCTTCCTCTCAAACTAATTATGACAGTAATTGGGTAAAATTATACATTATAAACAAAACAATTATATTTCCTCTCTATCTAACTTCTCCAGAGATTGGGAACTCTTAGGTTTCCAGTAACTTTATCAGATAAGTTAGGAAAGTTATCTCACTAACAGGTGGAAAAATCTTAAGGAATTTCCGAGACCCTGAAAAGGGAAGAATTCACCTAGATTTGTTAGGCGAAATCTGTGATAAGCCTTTGGTGTGAGTTTCCCAGCCCTATTTTATTTTAAAAGTTCAATCTGAGACTCTAAATGTTTCAGCAAAGCATAAAGTCTATGATCAACTATTTTTATATAAATCATCAGACCAAAATTACTGAGAACAGACCTATTTTGCAAGCGAACTAGCCTTAATTTGGTTATATTTGATTTAAATGAGGGTAATTGTAGGGAGAAAAAGGTGTTTCATTAAATATTAAATCCCAGCTTTTTAATGGAAGTCTGCATCTAGTAAGACTCATTTCTTGAATAGTTTTTTCCTGTTATGTGATATTAATGTAAAATTTAATTGAATTCTTAAAGAACACTCTGTTTGCTTCTGAAGTGCTTCTCAGTCATCTATCTTTGGATAAAGATCAGATGCCTCATGAGCTGCAAGCAGGACTGGACAAAGACATAATTTAAGGGACTGTCTCCAACCTGGATAGAAGGAACTTTTTATCAGGTACTCTTAACTGGCTCATGCACAGTGAAATTGAGGGGAAACTGACTCTTAGATTAATTCCCACTTCCAAAGGACCCTACACTGAACTAGTCTATAGAGAGGACAGCTCGCCTCATCTCACCTTAAAATGATGCTCAAACAGAGAAGAAACTACCAGGATGAGAAGAAGACAACATCAGATGTAGACAACTTGCCCAAGATGCTGATCCTGATTCATATGATCATTTAAAATGTTTTCTTGACTTCTTAGACCTTTGCATATAAATCAAATGCCTGATCATAGGCCTGATCCTATGCTAGTTTTAAAAATCAACCCAGTTGTTGGGTTTGTGGCCAATTACCTGTGTCTAGTTCTGGGTTACCTTGCTGAATTTCTCTATTCCAAGACTAACTTGTTGGCCCTGAGAAAATTTACTTAAAAAAAAAATGTATATATATATATATATATATATATATATATATATAGTCAGATTCAAGTCACTATTGATATTACTAGATGGGATCCTCTCACCTGGCCAATTAATAATGCCTGCTCTGACTCTGGCCATAAATTTGAGTTTTCTTCTGTTACTCAAGCTCAGTCAGAGCAACAAGCAAAGTTTTAACAAAGGAAAAAAAAAATATCCCACAATTATGGGATGGATTTATATAGATAACACCAGGCTATGGTAATTTAGATTTAAAGTCTCCT